GGCCCAGATGTGACCCACCACTATACTGTCCCTTCCCCAAATCACGAGCCAGCTTTTTAAAACTGTGTCTGCGGAATTCAGACTGTAGCTAAAAGGGCTGGCAGGGAAAGGCAGGGAAAAAAAAGGTAAATAGAAATTATACAACAGAAAGAAAACAGATAGTAGCAAAGTTTAAAATAATAGCCATATGGCAGAGTTTCATATAAAATAAAGCTTTCAGGAGACCATAATTTTGTGTTACTCAATGAGCCAGAAGAGGCTACTAACGTACCTTGGCCACACTTCCTCTATCCAGTAAGAACAAATATATCTTTTTATTTTGCACAGTGCCAGTTCCATCCCTGCAACCCTGAACTAAGAGGATTACCTGAATCATATTTTTTTATTATGTTTTTGATGTAGCTGTTATAATAATATAAAAATACAAAGGAAGACCATATAAGGACAGATGTGCTTCCTATAACCTTTCTGGTGTGAGCATAAATGTGCAGTCCCTGATTCCACGAAGCCATCAGGAGATGGTGAGATATTTATCATTGTGCCTGTGTCTGCTTATGATACGCAATGCAGACCAAAGAAAAGCATCTCTCCCTGCATCGGCCTAAAAACCAGTGCTAGCTCCACATGTTGGTTTGTTTCTAACAGTGGTGAATTATTTTAGGAATATGATTTTATACCATGGGAGTAAATTGGATTTCCCACTGTGCTCAACTTGAAATTTTTTACTGGAAGAGAATGACAGCAATACAAGAAGTATTCCATTTCTCAGAGTTAATGGTGTCATTACTTTTTGTCCAACCATGAAAGCTTCTTACAGGCATCCACTTCCAGTAGTGTGCACGTCCAAAAATAGCCATTCTGAGTGAATTCAAAGGCTCTTTGAGCCATTGGCATAAACCACAGTGACAGTAGATGGCTAAAGAAAAGTACAGAAAAGCATAAAAAGGTTGAATAATTTTGGTATTTCCTGAGCTAGGGATGAACTGATCTGAGAGACCTTACAAGAATGGTACCTGTCTCTAGCACTGTCCTTGCCTCAGGGATGTCACTCAGCAGTCGTGCTCTCACATGCATCTCTATTTTGGCTGGGACTTCCACTCGAGGAAAAGAGAGTCACAGGGACAGGTGTTTCAAAATTAGATGATCACTTAGCATTCCATTAGATTAATAGGAAGAGGTAGAATAGATAAAAAGGACTGAGATGCTTAAGAATTGGGCCTCACTTCTTCACTTATCTTCTACAATGTCATATTTATCAAGGCAATGGGAGGTTGGTCCAGGAATCAGGCAATGATGTTTTGAAGTTGCTTCATCTCTCTCTTCCTGAGTTTATCAACCTGTTTACTTTTTTATTTAAATACTATAAATCAGATAAATTAATATTTTAAATAAAAAATAATTATTTAGAAATAAAGAAAAATATTTTGTTTAGTACTTTGACATTTTTTGTATTAAAGCATAAATAATGACAATTTTTTATTATTCTGTTTAAATCCTGCAGGTGTAATGTAGTAATGCTTTAAAGACTGCAAAAAATTAACTGATCTGAATGTTACAAAATTTCTCAAATTTTACAGAAGTTAAGGTCAGCTGTACGTAATAGAGTCTTCTGGAAAGTTGGGTCAATTTCCTGCACCAATAGTCTATCTTCCACCAAAAAGAAAGGTCAATCTAGATTTCAAAGGAAGTAGTACCACACCTTTGTCTACAATTCAGTCAATAAGCATCTATATGATACCAACTGTAAAAAGCAGGTGACAAAAGATCCATGTCTAAAATAAATTTTGATACAAAATTGATTATAGCTGTGGGGAATTATCTTTATTTCTACTAGCTGTGATGAAGGGACATTTTTTTCAGACTGACACAGGAAGAAGTCTGTGTCCTTAGCTATGTCAAACATTGACCTTTCTCCTTATGTTTTTTTCTTTTTTCCTCTAACTTACATAATTATATAAGCAAATTCATGACAATTTCTTATTACTTAAAGATAAGTCTCTGTAGTTTTTAGTTGTTAATCACTGTTTCCTTACTTATAATAGTAATGAAGCTTTTGATTCAATATTTGGCTCTGCATCCCAGCACCTCTCTATCTGCAGTTTTTGATCTTTTCTTCACATTTATATTAGGCGCTGGAACTTAAGGATCTTTAAGGTTCTGTTCAGCCAAAGCCATTCTGTGATTCAATGGTTCTGTATCTCCATTTTCCATTATGCCTACACAGATGGTTTGAAAGAGTTGCCTATTTCTTTAATTTTGATGCCCGGTTTTCCCATAAGTACAGAAGGAAGTAAGAATATAGAAAATTTGAATTTTGATTTGAAATGTCTTTCTATTTATCTAATAGACATACAAATGACTTGTCTATCTCACAGTCAGTTTAGCTTCTTTTTTCTGATTCATAACTTTCTATAACTGCTGAGGGAATTGCTATTAAGCTGTAATAAGAAGTCCTGCCTATATTTTTCTTCAAAATACCTCAAGCAAGTCATAATCAATTTTTTTTTTTAAATTTTCACTAGAAATCTGTTTTTTTCTTTATATTTGATTGCAGTACCTTTGCCTCATCCAAGCTTTTCTGCCTTCTCAGTGTGTTTTACTTGAGGCAATTTTCTAATTTTTCTCATTACAGCTGTTACTTTCACACCAGGAATATTAGTAAAATACCTTATGCTTCTCCTTGTACTGCATCAAAGATCATCATATCTTTCAACTGGTAATTTGTTCTCTTTGTCTTGTGTCCTTTCCCCCTGAGGAATAATATTTTGCAGAGCCTGAGACTTCTGAGATAATTAGATCATACAAAACATCCGCTATCCCGTCTCCCACTAAGACAAGAGGACCTTAAGGTTTAAATTACTTCAATACATTCTCACTGTAGAAGATCAATTATTTTTCTTTTGTCTGGTCTCATTAAAGTTCAATTTCATCCACATCCCTAACACATTTCCTATAGATTCTCTTTATCTGACTTTTTCAAAGCCTAGTCATCTTCTCCCTGATGATAAACATATCTTGATTTAATGGCATCTTTAAATTGTCTGCATTTCCCTTGAACAAAATTCACAACAAAAGAGAAACATTATTTTCACAGAACCACAGAATAGTCTGAGCTGGAAGGGACCCATAAGGGCCATTAAGTCATTCTTAAATGATATTGTCAACGTAATCCTGAGGAAAATAAGTGGACCACACTCTGTTCTTCTAATAAACGTATCACTAATCAAAGTACCTTCTTCAAAGACATAATGTTTTCTTTTACCCAAGATACTGGAAGCTGAGAGGATAGAGTGGGGGGTTTTTGTGTGTATGAAAATACATATAAATATATGTAAATTATAAGCAAATGTATTACTGTGAGAAACTAATTCCTAAGGTAAAAATCCAACTTTTGCTTGGGAAAAATCACACCATTGCAAAGCTTACTTTACCTTTTCAATAAAGTTTCAGAGTTCTACAGAAGGCCAAACTGAGGCAAAGTTAGCTGAACTGATCTATTTCACATTGTCAGAAGATACACACTGGTTCCAAGTCCTACTTTTTGTACTGTTTATGTACCTTAGAAATATGTACTTGCAATGTGTAAATACATAAACATACTATATATATAACATGCAGAATCATATCTATATATCTACCTATCTATATATATCCCACATATAATAAATCATCATAGATACATTTTATGGCAATGGAACTGTTTCAACATTTTGCTTCTTTCTCCTCTTAAAATACATTTACTAAAATACAAAGCTGCTGGATGATTAAATAACATCCTATTTGCAAGAAATTATATTTTTTAAGTAAGCAATCCATTGAATTTTTTTGCACCAATGGAAAGCAACGAAAAAAGATCACCCTGGAGTGACACAAAGAATATTCCTATGATGTAAAATATTTCATGCAAGATGTAAAATGTTTCTTAAACTCATGCCCCACTCAGGAAAATTTACAAATTGAAGTACAGCATCATACCTAACTAAACTAAAATACCCATAACCAATTATATGATTAACATATTAATTTAACATTACAATTAAATTGTGTGTAACTGTACTGTAGTGAGTCAAATATAGCTCTAAGAGTTACATTTAAAATAATACCAAATCATAGGCAGAATGACCATCATTTTAAAAAGACATAAAAACTCTCCCTGTTTCTAGTGCATATATATTTAAGCCTCCATGTAGTCATAAAGAAACAGGATATGGAATTTATTTCAATTTTTCTCAGTATGGTTAACATTGGGAAATACCAATAATTCCCTATATGTAGACATTTCACTGCTCTTCCATTTCTGTTCCAGAGTCTAGAGGTCAGTTTATCTTCAGTATGTCCTATCAGGTCTCTCTTAGTGTAAAAAAACCAAAACAACAACAAACCAAAACAAACAGAAAAAAAACCCCAAGTAAAAATATCTTTGGAAACAGTGGAAAAGGAAGTTTTTTCCCCTATCAGAGCTTTTCCGGGCCATTTCAATGTTGCTTTCAAGATGCTGCAACCCCTTGCCATGCTTGTCTTCTGTACTTTATTTTTCTCTCTGACCTCTCCCTTTTGTTACATTCCTCTAGGCCAAATCAATCCTTCCTCTTACATTCCCTACACTCTCTCCACAGCGCTGGTGCATCCAGCTCTATGGGGCTCTACTCATAATTTAAGTTCATATGAGTTTATATTATATATTATATATATTTATATATCATATATTTCTACAATATATATTTATATATTATATATTTCTACATTTATATCAGACTTGTGAAAATCATTCGCCACAATATTCAAAGACACCCAATATTAACAGAGCCCTCATAACTAGTTAAATACAAAGATGGGTTATCATATGTGTAATTTTCTAGCTACCTTCACTTCCATTAAAGCAGTTGAGAGTTCACAATCATTTGGCTCCCTGCCTTTGCAGGAGGCAGTTGTGGAGAAAATGAATAAAAGCAATGCAGAGAGACATCAAGGAAATGGAGACATCAGAGGAAAGGACTCACCTCTTTTAGTCAGTTTTCCATTTTAGTTGTTTCAATAGTTAAAGAGGGAAGAGATTTTTTGCACACTCTTTAATTCAGATGTCAGTTCCAATACTTGATGCTTGACTGCTCTGAAACACAATCAAAGTGTAATAGTTAAAACCACTGGTCTGAAACAAGATAAAATTAACATGGCAAGGATCTATGTATTCATTAAAAACCACAGCAATATTGAGATGTTTTATAGCAATGCTCCATGGCAAGGTTTTCACATGGCTCCAAACTCTGCTTCTGGCAACAAAAAAAAGAATATTTTGATTGCATAATGCTGCATTTGTGGTGCCATCTCAGCCTTCCTACTCTCTCTGTACAATGCATGAGGAGTTTGTTGGCTCTTTGACCAAAAGATACCAAGACTGGTTACATGTGATTGCTTCAGTAAATCTCTGCAAGTTCACCTCTCCCCTACTCACTCCCTTCCACAACCTTTTCCTTTTCTCACTCTGCATAAAACACCATGGAATCCTGCTGCCTGTGTCTGGAAAAGCAGAGGAGAATGGTGAGAAAACCCGAACCACCCAGCTGTATACATGGTGCTTCCCACACCAGCATTCGAGGGGTTGGGGACAAAATTGCAATGGGAAGCCACTGCACATTAAAAGATATACTTTTTTAAAACTATATAAACTGAAAATACTTATTCATGAGCCATTTTCTCTCTCTTGTAAGCAAAATCATATACATGTTTTTCTCTTTTATTTCCCCAGTCCTACTTATGAAGGCTAACAAAAATAAATGGCTTTCCTCTGTTTTCTATATTTATTCTCTGTGAGTCATCTCACTATTTAAGTTTTGTTTCTGATCACCTAAAGGTCTAGCCTATTTTATTCTGCCTTTTTTTATGGGAACAATTTGAAAGTACAAGCCAGAATAAGTGTGAATATTTTGTCTTGTAAAAGCAGTTAACATCTCAAATCAAAATTTTGCTGTAAAGCATATCAAAAGAAAATAAATTCACAGCTAAGGGTGCTTTGATTCTAGCCTTGGATTATACTGATGATTTATCACTAAAATAACTTATTTGATACATTCTTAAGTTATTTTAATCACTTGATGCTCATTCAAAGAAATACCTTTCCACACCACAGTTAGCTATTGGGGTCTAGTTGTCAGAAAAAGCAAGTAAACATTTTCAGAGCAAAAATAACCTGAAAATATTACAAACTCATGCTTATAAAACTAGAAGAAACCAACCCAATCAGAGTCAGAGTTTTTTAGCCACTTCCCACAGGCTAAAAAACTTCCATAAATTAATTCCTTTGGAAGTGGGATGCACATCCTAGTAAAACATCAGGCTTTGGATCGAAATTCTTTCAAGTAACCACTAAGAGGACAGGAATAGCCTCTGTACACAAGAGGTGATTTTTCCTTGGAATTCCTTGACCTCTAAAGCAGTCAAACAGTTGACAGCTGCAGCCTCCTCTTTGTTACTTTCTTTATTTTTGTTGTGAATCCTGTTTCAAAGATAAACTAAATTCTGACACTGCTTCAGAGTCTCTGACATTACTGTCAGGATAGAAACATTCTAGTGTTTTTAGTACTAGTACTCCAATGACAGCACTTTGTGTAGAGCTGGCTTTAAGGGCCTGACTCTCCCTTGAGGTATGTAACATTCTTTAGTGTATTTCTTCTTAATTCTAAATTTAAATTTCCAGTTCTTTCTCTACAGTTGGTCTTTCTTGGTTGGTTGCACAGAAGTACAGTTGGTTTTTTTGTCAGATGTGGGAGAAAACAATATGTTCCAAGTAGGAAAATGAGATGATAAAATTATCAGATTGGCAGTGGGATCAAGAGAGAGGTACAGAACTAGAAACTGCCTTTAAATTATTTCAGAAATGCACAGATTTCCTGTTGACAGGATCTCTTTTCAGGAAAGCTTTAATTTACCTGTAATATTGACTACATCATAAGCATTTCAGATTTTCTGTGAGAGTATAAAATTGACTGAGTAAATTTAATTGTAGCAAGTAAACTGGATTGATTTTTTATTATAACATCTCTTTAGGGAGCTTAGCTTACAAACATAAATCTCTAAAGGAACAAATCCTCCATGTCCTTAGCAGGAGCCTTGAGTTGTGAGGACTTCTCTCAACCCATTGAAACTCCCATGCTTGAAGATTTGGTTGAGAAGCTTGCAGAAGCTGGGCTCAGATGGGTTTCTCTTAGCTGACAGAATTTCCTGCATAAGTGAAGTTTTAACTTGTCAGATGTATTTAGTGATGACAGAGACACTGAAGGCAGGCAATGTAAAGGTATCACCTGCAGCACCTAAGTGTTAAGCGTACTGTAAGCCACTGCCTGAAGTGTAAAAAAGAGAAAATTTGAAATTAACTTTCTGCAAACATCTAAGTATATATGACAGAGTTTTCAGAGATGGGCATAGACTACCGTGCTTCAGATTCTGTACAAAGAGATGGCATTATCCCTGTCAACAGCCTAAACTAAATCAACATTGATTTAATAGTTTTAAAATTTCTTTAATTCTTCAAATGTTTTGGTCTTTCTTATTTGTGCATGTCTATGCATGCTAGCCTTGTCTGACCACTTCCCCTATTTTTTATTTAATCAGAGAGATTAAATCTGATTACAAACAACCAGAAAAGGTTCACATAAAAGCAAGATGATGATGGAGCGTACAGAATGACTTCTGTGTGAGGGACAAATGAATAGAGTAACACTACAAAAACAGAGGAAATTGAATCATGGAAGATTATGAAAACAACCACAGGACATTAAATCAAGCTGATTAAAAGTCACATCATAAAAAGTGATGCCTCAGGTTTTAGCTTTTCTATTTTTCAGATTCTGTACTGCTTTAGTGTGTAGTTCTGAGCTTCATATTAACGGACAGTAAGCTCTCTTCACAGAGTAAGTGGACAAATCATTTCCTTCTCTAGCTGGGGACCAAGGACAATCTCAGGCCCAAGACCATAAACAACGTGGGCTGAAGAGAGAAAAACAATAAGGATGGGACTTCAAAACCTAAAGCTGTTGTCCAACTGACAAGTAACTCCAATATGCTAATGAAGCAGAACTCATAAAAGTGAGAAATCTCAGGACCAGTTGCCCATTTTGTGATCATTTTGGGTTCATCTTGGATGTAGCCCTGGCTGGGCTTTTGTACTGCCCAAGGTGTATCCATTGAGGCCTTTTAATAAATGCCTACTTTATTTAACTCTGTCTATCCTCTGCTCTAGGTCAGCCTTCACAAGGCATCCAAAGAAAGAAAGCTGAACAAATAAACAAAGAGGGGTGGCTCTTTCTGCAAAGTGCATTTGTACTGCGGGACTCCTGCCACAGTAGGTTATGAAGATAAAATCATACCTTCTAAGAGAAGGAAAAGTGTGGGAAAATTAAATTTCCTCAATTTAGGTAGCTAGAAATGTTTAGAAACGTGCAGCTCAGAAAGACCCAAAGTTCAAGACATCAGGAGGCTAAGAGATATGTTTGACATGTTTGTATATTCTTTCTTTTGATCTCCAGTGCATGAAAGAGAGCATGGGATAAAATACTTTTGAGTTTGACTGTGATTTTTATAATTTTTTGGTGTTTTTAGATAGATTGGTTAAAAAGAAACCTGGAAGAAAATATGGCAAAGAACAGGAGCAAAGAATAACCCAGAGCAGGTGCCTAGGGAGCCTGTGGCATCTCCATCATGGGAGATACTGAATACTCAGTTGAACAAGACCCTCCGCAACTTGGTAACTGCCTACAATTCCTTACTAGGTAAATTATTCTGTGAATCTGTGTGTTTGAGAAACAGACTCTAATCATATCTATACCATTCCTGTGCAGAACACTAGTTCACAGTGTGATCATTATCATTAAACCAAATTTCAATGAGGAAATGAAGGGCAGGTCTTCAAGTGTTTTATTACTTACTAAACCATTTGATTTCTCTTCTAAATGATGCTTCTTTACACTCCTGAGGTTCTGCTCATATGCATATTTTTAATTAACAATACATACTGTAAAGGAAATGGATTAATTTTTTGCCTGTTTCTTTTTTTCCACTATTTTTTCATCTCTTCTTATATTTTATTAAAGTAATTCACAGTGAAGGTGGACAACCATGCATTTTTCTGTACACAATATCAAGATGCTGACCTACATTAACAACCGAAATCCGTTCCATTACAAAGCTGTACTTCGTGGGTCTTTATATATACTGCAACCTTTCAATGAGGGTGAGTACCTGAGGTGACAAATGGCAGATAACCTCTGATGTTCAGAAGAGGCCTCTTTCAGATGATGATTTAGTGCATATTAAGCCATTAGAATCAATAATTTTTTTACTTTTAAAGTACTGGGCAGGAACCTCACATATTTGTTATCCAAATGATAGCAAAGTAATAATAATTGCAGAAATTAGCATTGCCTAGTAACTACACACAAATGAACTTCTAAAAATTTTATTACAACCACACTAGTGTAGTAGTAATGGGAATACCATAAAGCTTAGCAATGAGCAGAAAATTCAGTCTTCTTTCTGTGAAGCCAAGACTGCAATATCACACACATTTATTGAACCTCATTTGTAAAATTAAGAGTCTCCCTCAGACAATTAAAAATCATGCTGAGTATTCAGCCACAGTAAATTACAAATATAATTAAGTAAATAATAAGAAAGCCCAAGTCCCTACTTAAATGCACTGCCAAATCAGCTAATCCAAGCACAGCAAATATTAATGCAATATTTCACTGTCTACAGCTTAGCTCCTGATCTACAGTAATAATAACACATTAAGGTTTTGTTCATACTCAGAGCAAACCACTTATTTTCCCCAAGACAACTGGAGCACCAGGTTGCCAATAATAAGCTGCTCATATCTTCCATCATCCTGCTCGGGAAGGCAGGCTCAGAAGATGAGCACTTTTAGCCTGATTGTATTTGCCACCAATTATAGAGTCACAGTCTTTTGATCATTCTTCACTTTAAACTGAAAATAAGCTAACCTGAAGGATTAAAATCAATGCAAATTAAAGGGCTCTGCAAAGTGTGATTTTTAATTACGCTGCCTTGGGAAGTCATTGCACAATCACTATCTGCATTCCATTGTTTCTGCATAGA